CGTGACAGTAGCCGTCACGGGGGGCTTCAGCAGGAGTGGGCAGACAAATAACGTCAATAAACATGAAGTGGTCATGCGTACGAGACTTGTAGCACAAGCAGCGCTTGCTTACGTATTTAATGGCGCATTCCACCACCCTTGATCAGAATGCACCGACACAATCAGCTCCTCACCAATTCCACCCATACTGCTGCTAATTATAATAATATAGTGGTTAGTTTAGTTCTTTTTCAGCTATGGCAGTCAAGGGGGGTTGTTTGGCCATAATTTACAATACTGGTCGGCGCAGGTTGGTGAAGTGGGGTTGGGGTAAGGGGGTTGGACTGGTTGAGATATTACACACCACTGACATCAACCATGGCTGGGAATTGAAACTAGGTCAACGGGTAAAGAGTGCAGTGCAATACCCTCCCACCCCTTCATAATAATAATTATGCCTTTAATTTCTCCAGGAATGCCTGAGTCTCAAGACTATTTTTCAGGAGGATCCTGTTACATTGGGATGCTTGATAATGTTCATCAATGATTGTTTGGATTAATGTTGGAGGAAATAGGAGTAGTGTACCTGTATAAAGACGCATACAAGGGGTGTGACACTCAGAGTTAGGTTCAATAGTCAATTGCTGTCCTGCCATTTCCTGGACATCTCACAGCCCAAGCCTACAATACATGATATTCCTTGGCAGTCTCCCATACAAGTGCTAACCAGGCTCTAATTCCGCTTAGCTTCTGTGCGCTGAAAATAATCTGGGCATATTCAGCGTGATTTGGGTTTTCCTGCTGCTACTGCTGCACTCCAAAAACCTCCCACCTTTTGCTACGCTGGGTGGGTGACCTCACAGCCACAATTACACATTCCATTAGTGCCATGCCGAGGCCATTATGTGACCCACAGGAGGTGGGGGCAAACACGAGGGACAGCGCCAATTTGTGTGACCAGTCCGACGGCGTGAAGCCAATTTTCCTGTCGAGTTGAGACCATTGACCGTGATGATGCAGGCGATGGTTGCCTCCGTTTTGGAAGTGCAGGAGGCACCAATTAATCTGTCCCATCTCTCCAGGAAGATCCCAAGAACCTGCAGCCTTCTCCCTGCACCTGCCGCATTACCATACAAATGCGACTACCCTGCATGAATGTTGCTTGACAAAGAGCATTTGCTACATCATATTTCAAGCGGCCGTAATCTGATTTCATCCCGTTCCGCTTATTTAAAAGGTTTGAATTATTATACAGGTGATAAGCCACGGTGCTCCTACCCCAAAAATAACCCATAAAAAATACCCCACAAAGGCAAGCTGGGACGAAACGTGACTGCCACATCACTTATGTGTGTTTGCTATCCCGAGTGATTTCAGAGCTCTTGCATATTTGATGGATGTAAAAAATGATGTTCTATGGTTTTTACTGTCCATTTTGTGATGCGCGTATCTCTGGAAATGTCAATGAACGTTGAGCTCTTTAATAATGTTTGTCATGAGCACAATAGCTGCTTCCACATATCTGATTGTCTACATCCATATATATAATTGCAATATGGCCGTTGAACAGATCACCAGGAAACATAGTTTCTCATCTCGGAAGCTAAGAAGGTGTGAGCCTAGATAGTGCATGGATGGGTAACCACCATGCAAATTAGATATTAAAGGCTGAAATACCGAAAGTCGTGGGCAGCAGATGCGGGATTTTTAATTACCGGCGACTGTCATCATTAGCGTGGATAATCGAGAGTCTACTGTATAAAGGTTTGTTATTTCGTTATCTGGGTTTGCACGCCTGTGATTTAGCACTTTAGAGGCAAGGTTGGTTGGATCACAAATAGGTTTGTGAACCTCCCACACCTGCTGGGCTGCGAGGTGGCCAGGAGATGGAAGCACAGCAATCGAGGTTCATAAACTCGTGTGTGTAGACCTTATAAGTGCTATTATCCCAAGGTGTGTGGTGAATTTTCTGCAATTTTCTCGCCTACACAAATACAACTTTATAAAAAAAATTATATCATTTTCCAAACATCGCAACGTAGCACGACCCTTATGAAGTAAAATACTGAAACTCAGTGAGGCTTTACTGGATAAATAAATGGCATCATCATTAATATTAATGTCCACATGCCAAACTTTACCTGGATCTGTTGAGCAGTTTATACCAAGCAGCCATGTCTCTACCGGTCTACGTTCTGGAAAATATTTGTACCCCCAGTGGACCACATCCAGTATACCCCTCGCGATGGTTGTGGCTACTGGTCATGGACCCACCTCCAGTATACTTTATGATCCCAACAATAGTCAGTGAGCAATTAATCATTGGTATCAAGTGAACATCACAGGGCCATGAACTACTTGTAAAAATGAGCGCCCGCCGTGGCCCAAAAAGCACCAACATTCGTCATCTGCCGGGCCGTTTAAACGCGATCAGTACATTTAGCCAAATGGCTCGCGTGCAATTAGTGGGATGTGGCTTTTGACGGGCAATGACAAAGGTGCAAGCGCAACTTGTCAGTCAGGTGACCTCATGGGTTTGTGATGGACCCTAGGCAGACTATCCCACGGGCCGTTGTCAGTCAAGCATCTGCTGACGTCGTCTCTCTTTACGCAGCGCTGTCGCCTTCGTTGCCTGTCCTTGGCGGCACAGACGTTTGTTTCGACAGCTCATGCTCACGCTGCTGTGCTGCGAAGTCGCTTGTACGAATGCTTTGTGACTCCGTTGTCTTTAGCTCTACCGCCCTCTGCTGGCTGTGTTTTTTTAATCGCTTGCTAAGGAAACAGGTGGAAACGCGCAATGACGCCTGAACCTTATGGCGGGACCCCGGGGTCTCATCAGCCCCCCGGCTCTCGCATGAACTGCGTTGCGACGTCATTGTATGTCTGTTGAAGGCGAACGATACGACAATCTGTTCCTCTCGACGATGTCTACACGATGCGCTAATCAAAGTTTAAAAGTTTTGTTTATGACTACGGCAATTTTGGCAACGACGGGTGCTTGGCGAAGAACGACGAGAGGATTGATTTATGGTGGGTCGCGGCGTTTATGCGCGCGGTGGGACGGAGTCGCCAAAAAGTAAATTAATTATTTACGATTTTGACCTCCGTTTATTCTGGACCCCCCCCCCCCCCCCCGGGGTCCCGCCATGAGGTTCACCTGCCTGAAACCCACAGACGTCAAGAGCGCCACCAGACACGAGGGGATCTGCGGCTATTGGTGCGGAGAGGACATCAGACGGCGTCGACACAACCACGCCACGTGCAGTCAAACGCCCGAAGTCACAGACAAGATCTTCCCAACGACACGGACACAGGAGGAGGTGTCGCGGGGCAGACATGGTGATTTAGAAAACGTTTTGGTTTAGCCGTATTTGTTTGTTGTAGTACAGAGTTAGACTGATAACTTTAATCTAAATTGGCTTATGGTTGTTATTGTTTGACTTGCATCCCACTGGGATTTTTTTTGCACACAGCGTTGATGTACGGTGCTTTTTTTCTGGAAGGCTTTGCTGTTGTTTTTTTCCCCCTGGATTTTTCTGTTTGCGCTTAGTCACTTTAAGATGTTTTCTTGTTCATGTTTATGTTTGTTGCGGTTGCACCCGATTCAAGAGCCGAATGGCTCACGGGGCTACACCAAATAAATGAAACTGAAAACTGAAACTGACACGGGCAACCTTGGCGCTGAGGTCAGCATGGGCATCACGGCGAGTGATCAGCTCCTCACGGGAGCAATGGCGCGATGGACCACATGGACAACTCTGAATCGGATTCGCACCCAAAGTGGGCAGGTGAAGACCCCACTTGGCTCCACCAAACCACGGAGAGAGCTGCGACTGTTGTGGCGAGAATGGGGACCTCTTGCTCTGTTCGAGGAGGGCCCCAGCAGCAGGCGACCTGCGAGCGCTGAGATGTGCTCGCCAAGGCGAAGGGCATTCGACTTTGATGGACGGACACGAGAAGATGTGAAACTATGGGGTCTCCATTGGAGTCTCTGTGAGTCTATTGCAGTGGTGGATCAGAGGTGGGTGGTTGGCATGGAGGCGATTAACCCCTCGTTCCCTTGAGACCCCGAACATTTTACCTGAGAAAATTCGTAGATTGCTAATATCATTATGAGTATAATAAAAAATAAAATAAAAGGCAATCTTATCCTTCAGGCAATCATACAGGTGTTCAGATGTTCAAACAGTAAATTAACACCTATTGCAAGGCAATATAATTTTGATACCGGCAAAAAATGGTCTCATACATATGCGTACTGTATATATAAAAACTATAAACTAAACATTTTTTGTATTTTCCCAGGTAAGGCCAACTGAGCTATGGTGCAATTTTTTTTAGAAGCGATCTGACCACAAATGATAACTCAGCAAAGTGGATTATCATGGAGACATTGATATCAGCCACCTATTCTAAATGCACGTTTCTAAATGGGGAGGGGAAAAAAACCGGATGACCACGGGGAAAGAGACACCGCAAACTCCAAATATACAGCAGCAGGCGTCAGGGTCGGGATCGAGCCCACGACCTCCGGTATACCAGGGGAGGTAGTTAACATCTCACCACCGTGGCACCCTATGTGTGCGTCAGTAGGTCTCTCATTAGCTGTCCACGTTATCTATAACCTCCTTAGCCCAGACATCCGTGCTGTCGACTCCCCTGTCCTTGTTCATGTCCAGACTCAAGAACTTCCTTCCCCTTTGGCCTCTCGATGACTGCCTCACTCGTTCTGTCAATACAATAAGACAATAAAGACATCCCCACAGTTTCTGTGCAATGTCTTCAGATGCGGTAACATTTGGACGACGTATAAAATGAAGATTATATTGGTTTTTTTAGCTCTATGGTTTACAACCGAGCGATTACTTTCCGATGAGATAACCAAAAGGGCCCCAAAGTTGGTCATGGTTGGCTGCGCGCTACCAGCAGGGGGTGCCGGACCGACACGGCCCCCCCCCCCTCCTCCACCACCCCCCACCACACCCCCCATTAAGCCCCCCTTACCCGCCCCTCGTCCTCACTCGCATCTTCCAACTGAGACTGGCCAAGTGGTCACGGATTGAGAGCAGCAGAGAGTGGTTGGTGGCGTCCGTGCGTGTGACCTCCTTCCTTCCTCCCTCCTTCCTACACTGAGATGCTTCACTGCATCCCGGCGGATGAATAGTCACTTGTGGGGCTGCTATGCTCGGTACGATTATCTCTTGATTCACAGCTTGGAGATGCGAAGGTTGGTGTTGGGGAAGGGTTATATTTGGAATTGATCCTTGATTAGAGGGGAGTCACCCCACCTATAACATGTTGAAATAAAACAAGTGTTCGTTTTTTTAAAATCAAGCCTGGCTCTGCTGATGAGACCCATCATGTAAATGCCGCTCCAGAGTTTGTTTGCTTAATATTATTGCCGATGCTTTGATATAAGTCTGGATGTAACGCGTTCATTGGCTGATGAGACTCAAGAAGCAAATTGTATGATCATGTTGAGGTATATAGGTTCGGAGGTCGCTTTATCCTTTATACGTACACGTCTCCATGAACTCTAGATAAGGCTGGTGTGGAACTCAGGCTGAAGCTCCTCTGCGGCTGGTCGAAGTTCCCACTGGCTGCCGGGAGCTGCTGTGCTCAGATCTTGATTTTCTTCCAGGACAACCGTGGGCGGACGTCTTCTACCGAAAAAGGTAAGGAGGGCATTAGTAGCGGCAAACGTGCTGTAGTGTCAAGGGGTGAACCTCTGTGCCTTCACCAACCCGCACCGGAGAGACCGGCGTGGGGAAGTATGGTCAAATTAAGCACCCCCACGACCCGCACGGCGTGGGGAAGCCTTCATCCAGCTGTGGATTGAGAACTGCGACTTGTACGCGCACGCGACCAATGTATTCGTCATTATACAACACTACATATGCATGCGCGATATGGGTACCTTAATTCCTACTCGGGCTGCATATACCCTTCTTCTGAGCTGGATATCGTTGAAAGGATGCATTCATTATTCCTCGGTATTTATTATTTCACTTGCACTGATGTAAATTGTAATGACAAATTAAGTGGAAGATTCCACTTAGGCTATTAAACAACCCGGCACTGATCACACGTACGAGTGAATCAACTTGCCATGTAAAATCTATATATATATCACAATCGCTTATTCATATTTTGATGTCGTAGAAGGCATAAAATCTGCGGAGCTTTCAGCAAAAATGTTGCTGAGCCTCTGGTCATCACGATCAGAGGGGAGAAATAATTCAGAAAACCGAAGTTTTGAATTATAAGTCCTCCAAAGGGTAAGTCCGGGATTAGGTTGATTGGTTTCACTCGCAGGACAGGCTCGTGACGAAGTTCTACGTTACTCCCAAGTCGCGTGCGAAACACTGAACAAAATATACGATCCCCATCGCCAGTGAAGCAAGCAATTGGCCTCGAGTGGAGGCGGTGACCCTAAAGGCAACAGAACGCTAGCAGTCCGCGCGACCTGTTAGTTGTGAGACAATGCCTTTCCACGGTGTTAATGATGCAGTTCGCCGGTGACCACATCACCTGGATTGTGCAAGATCTGCTCAGATCTTGGAAGCTAAGCAGGTTTGAGCCAGGATCGTGTCAATGGTGTGTGACCACCATGCCATACCAGGTGGCATAGGCTTCGGGGCTACGTGGTATGCTGCAAAGGGAGAGGTGCAGAGAGAAACAAAAACATTGTTGTACTGTACTTGTGAACTCCCACGTCTATGCTCCTCCGCCTTCACCGGACTGCTACCGCCCGGTGTGCATAGTGAAGTATGGTCGAACAACTCCCAAGACCTGCGCCGTTGTGGGGAGAGACTCATCCAGCAGTGGATCGCCACAATGGCTGTGCAAGTTAACGTGATGTACATGTGTAGTGTAAACACGCGGGGAGAGTTGCCCGGTGCACGTGGAGTTACAGTGAGGTAGGTGCCCCTGTGCTGTAAATAGCGTCCGGAACATGAGGTGGGGGAGCAGGGGTTGGTCTCTGCGTCTCGAGTGGCATTTATTAAAATAAAGGGCATTGCAGTAGTGTGTCATTGTTATTGGAGACTATTTACGTCTTCCACGTTAAACACACGCGCACGTTGTATTGATGTACATGTGCATCCATTTTCTCCAATCGACTGCGAGATGAGGACCTCCCCACGGCTGCGCGGGTCGTGGGGGCTATTTGACCTTTATTCACCACACATCGGTCACTTTGGGTTGCTGAATGAGTGGGGCAGTGATGTGGAAACAGAAGTGCAGTACAAATATGTATTTCGCTGCACGACCCACAACGTAGTCCCACATCCATGGTGCTCGCCCATCCCAATCGCTATTCCTGCTCGTGCCTGCTTGGCCAGCGAGCTGTGATGAGATCAGGCGCATTGTGGGTGAATTGGTCAACGGTGTTGTATTGATGCAGGCGCACAGCCATTGTCGTGTGCGTTGTGGGTGTTCGGACACCCCACCCCCAATTTTTTTTAGATATAGCTAAGAGACACCCGCAACACTTTGGACAAAAACAATGTAATTTTGAGTTTGCAACGTTTTTCTCATCAGCAAGGTGACGTCACTACTGATTATGCTGATGACGGAGGCTCGACACACAGTAGTGCACTAATAGTCGGCTAGCAGCGGAACAGATTTATAATTGTAGTGCAGTAGAACTATTTTCCGTAATGAAGTGGCAGAGGGGAGACGTTTATGAATCCTACCCGTAATGTAACCAATTACTACCGTTTACTAAGAGGACACCCCCCCCCCCCCCCCCCAAGTTCCACAGCGAGGCTATGCGCCTGCGTTGATGCCCACGTGAATCTGCCACTCTTGCGTCAAACCAGGTGCCGGGATTACAGGACGAGAGCCAAGGGGTCTCCGGGCCACAGGAGGAGCTCCTCTACCTCCCTCGAGATGTGGCGGCCTCTGCGCCCCTCCTCACCGCCTCTTCTCACCCTCTGCCTCCTCGCCGCCTTCGCACGATCCGCGCAGCACGCGCCGCGCTTGCAGCGAGGTGATCACGGTTGGCCGAATGATCAGTAGGTCGATTGTGCTGTCTCTTCAGGAGAGGCTGGAGGCCACGGATCCCCAAACTTTTCCCTCGTCTTGAGGCCGCTCTGTTTCACAATGTTGCCCATTTTGTCAGCGTCAACTTCTTGCTCGCATTCGGTGTCTTCGCTGTGGGGGACGTCTTTTCTGCGGGAACGTTCGAGACAATCTCTCACCACCGGCGAATCGATCTTGGTCGCCGGGTTCGCAGTGGGGTGTGCTAACCACTGCGCCAATGCTGCGCTTCAGATCGATCATAAAATATGGCAGATGCCCCAGCACTATGATCATGAATGTAAACTATCAACATTCTTAGAGCACAGGGTGAGAAGCCTCGAGATTGTTATTGATAATTTGAGCAAGTCACAAGAGGATGCTGCACTGTGTTATGCATAGACACTGGTGGCACTGTGGGTGGCACAGGACTGCGTGATGACCCCGATTCCCAGCTACGGTTGACATCAATGGCATTTATCATTACAAAAAAACACCTGTGCAGTTTCCTTTAGGTTGACTCAGCTTTGAAACGAGTACCTGGTGCAGCGTATGAACATCATCGCCAGGGATACAACGTTGGCAGGGCGTTTGTGCTGGCTAAACCACCCCATCATGTGCTGTGTCAGCCTTAATAGGTGCTCGCAAACAGCACTTTCTCCAACAGTCTATGAGGCAATATGGAATGTGTGATATACATCCTCTTTGACAATCTGCTTTGCTGTGTCATTCCTTGCTGGGTCATATTGTCAACTCTCGATTATCTGGGGTGATAGAGGGGGAGGGGTGGCCCAGATAAAACCAGAACACAGATACTCATACAAAACATATATAAGTTACGCTATATAAACAGAAGTATTGCTTTACCTATGTAGCATGGGGTGGAGATATAGAACGGGTTTTAGTATTTAAATAATTAATAAAATGTATTAAGGTATTGGGTTATTGAGGCACGATTGACGAGCTTAAGGTGTCAATGATCGTGGAATTCCGAATTTAACTTTTTTACTTTCGTCCCCGAACACATTAATCTGCATCCCGGATAATCTGTCCACGGACAATATTCGCGAGTTAACAATCCGTTTTTGCATGCATTCTTCATAAATGTGTAAACATCTACATTGAGGCATGGTACTCTCGTTTGACTCAAAAGCTCAGAGGCATCGTGCACTGAATTATAATAAACTCCACAATAACAACCCCCCCCCCCCCCCAGTAACTGAATGAACGTGGATGCAGTCGTTTGTGATTACATTTGACTCCGCGCCTTGCAGATGAACGCAGGACTCCTGTCGCATCGCCATGCTGTCACCTCCTGCCCCCACCACCGCCGCCCCCACTGTCGCCCAGCTTCCTGCAGCGTCGCAGTGTTGAGAAGGTGGCTTCAGAATTTAATCCACGGTTTAAGTCCCCTTTCAGATGATATCTGTCCCCCATATGTACGGCGAATGTTTCTTCATTTTACAAAACTGTTCACAACTCTCTAATCAAACAATGTAAAGAATTGAAATAGAGTTCATACATTTCTAAAACAAAATGTTTTATTATGGTCTTCTTAGCTTAGGTCATAGACCTTATATAGCTTATCTACAATACCATAGGACCCTGGTTTGTTTCAGTCAGTATGAGATATTTGTACTTGTAAATTACCCGCTTAAGTGCTGTGAATAACAGACTGGCTCACATTTGGACAGATGGTGTGCCTAATACTGTTGATGTATTTTAATGGCAACATGCACTGCAAGAGATAAAAATTCCATCAGATGAATTGGGTGTATAAGTATTAACAGTTTTACCCCGTTTCCATGGACAGGTTTCTGTAATTGGGTTTTGAGTGGCATTGGATTAGAGACCCTGCTATTGCCAGGGTTCACAGCTCGTGTGCAGTGTCAGTTTATCGAAACAACATTCATAAAACTGTCCGTCACAAAAGTGGGTATGCGTGTAGCTGAGCTCACGTGCAATGAAAATCATTCGAACATTCCTTTCAGAAAGTTTGTTTAAAAGTTTTGGCATAAATCTTATTTTTTTTAAACCCACACAGCCTTATATATCATCATCATTAGACCTCCTTTGCCAGTACCAAAATATAATAATAGGGTTTTCCCCCTTTTTTCTGGCAACAAAACTGAAACCTTTTTACAAGGATTCATGTCAGCATTAACCACAATACTTGCAGTCAAATGCAAACAAAAATAACACTATGATAATGTATGCATTGTCCTTGAAACTGATTGGTCCACACCAAGAGACGGCTTTCTTTTGAGCCTCGACCCAATTGGTGCTCGACCAGAGGACGTCAGCTGTACACCTTTTGGCGTCCTCTGGTCGACCACCAATTGGGTCGAGGCTCAAAAGAAAGCCGTCCCTTGGTGTGTACCAATGAGTTTCAAGGACAATGCATACAATATCATAGTGTGTTTTTTTTTTTTTTTGCATTTGACTGCAAGTATTGGGGTTAATGCTGACATGAATCCTTGTAAAAAAAGGTTTCGGTTTTGTTGCCAGAAAAAAGGGAGAAAACCCTATTATTATAGCCTTATATAGTATTCTAATTCGACATACTGTACCTTAACATGATGTCAGTGGGGATGGTATCAAGTGCACAGGCGGTGCAACTGGACTGGAGCCCATGGGCTGGAGAAACCCAGGTGCCAGGCTAGTAAGAGGGAAAGGAATTGGACAGGGGGCCCCATTTCACGTCTTGCACCAAGGCCCCTGCCAACCACAATATACGCCACTGCACCGATTCCATCCTCCGCAATTTTAGTTCCGAGTGCTTCCAGCATTGCTCCACTGACAGAGCACACTGCAGGACTTCACGCTCATTCGTTTGGTTGATTTGTTCCTGGAGAGTTGGAGTGAAGGGACAGGGGGAATTTATTACTGAGATTGTTTGAACCTAGTGTGCCGTTGAAAAGTCTGATTGATTCCTTAGTTTGTACACGGCGATCAGGAGAAAAAGCTACCGGGACCCGGTGAGAAGGTTCAGAGGCCGTCCACATCTATCGCAGGACAGCCTGGTCCACCAGGGCCTCCAGGACCCCCAGGCCCTCAGGTATGAAACTTGATATAAAGATAAAAAATAACAATCGCTGAAATAATACTTTAAAATCACATACAGCCCTTTATCAGTCAAGTGCTGGATCAAGGCCTCCCTTACATCGGCCTGTCGTGAGGGTTCTTTGACCATACTTCACCATGCTAGTATCGTTTGGTGAAGGAGGGGATCCATGATTCATTGGTTCAGATATCACCTATCGTTTATGTCAACCATGGCCAGGAATCAAACTCAGGTTGCTGGATTGATAATTCTAGAAAATGTTGTGTCCCACGATGAGTGCTGTTGTGGACTGTGTAAAATGTTTCGATTTAAAGCTTTCGTGACTGCAAGGATTCATCTTCTGGGTTCTTTCGGTAAAGTCACGTAGAATGGAGATAAAATAATAAAAATATTATTAAATAATAAAAAATATTTCTTTATCTCCATTCTACGTGACTTTACCGAAAGAACCCAGAAGATGAATCCTTGCAGTCACGAAAGCTTTAAATCGAAACATTTTACAGAATGGAGATAAAATAATAAAAATATTATTAAATAATAAAAAATATTATTTTATCTCCATTCTACGTGACTTTACCGAAAGAACCCAGAAGATGAATCCTTGCAGTCACGAAAGCTTTAAATCGAAACATTTTACAGTCCACAACAGCATTCATTGTGGGACACAACATTTTCTCACGTAGAATGGAGATAAAATAATACAAATATTATTATTTTATCTCCATTCTACGTGACTTTACCGAAAGAACCCAGAAGATGTGTAAAATGTGTCTTTATTTTGTTTTATCTTAGGGTCCCCCAGCATTGCCTGGATTAATGGGACCTAAAGGAGATCAGGTGAGTGCAATGGGAATACAGCATTCTAATTTAAGTAAGCTTTTAAATGTGAGGTATGGGGAGGTGTAAGATAAGCATGTGAAATGTAAGTCACTACTTTGTAAAGTGGGTGTGAATGCAAGCGTTTTAACAGAGGTCTAGGTTTTTGTATGATTAAGTATACGATTATTTCGTAGGATACATGTAATGTACTTTTACAAATGTACCTGTGCATTGTCTAATGATGTTATTATGCTTTAATTAAAGGGGATGATCGGAAAGCGTGGAAAACAGGTGAATTCCTTCATCGTGCACATATGTGTACAAACACACAATAAACATACGTACATATATCAATGTACAAATACTGTACACATATGCAGTTACACAAACAGACCTTTTCTCAATCGGCCACTGTATGATGGCCTCCCTACGTGTGGGACGTGGTGGTTATTTGAACATACTCACTGGTCAATATGGGTTGGTGAAGGCAGGGAGCATAGATGCATAAGTACAGGACAGTACAACTGTGGGTGTTACTGCACCGCTGTCTGCTGCTCACCAGGGAGCCCCGCAGCAGCCTATAGCAATTTTTGTTGCACGTGAGCAGGGCCGGATTAAGGTTCCTGTAGGCCCTATGCACTTTTGTTTCATAGACCTTCAGTGATAACTTTCTACAGTTGGTGCTGCTGTCCATGTTACTACCGCCGCTGTCACTGGCTTGTTTCACGCGCACTTCGTCCAGCTGCTGGACAGATGTCGTTACTGATACGTTCATTATTTAGTCTGTACCCCGATTTGATTGGAGGGCGCTGTGTGCCGCAGAAATCTCAATGGTAATTTCTCTCACCTTATGGAGAAAAAAACGATTGACATGACTCTGCCTCTTTGTTTCTACATTGTGCCTATCATTGCTATATATGTAGATTTATTCACGAAGATACCGTGGTTAAATTTTTTTTATAGTAGATGATGACGCTGCAAAGTATTATCTGTATTTTGATTTAGCGTGCTGATCTTAAAGGTGCATTGAAAAATGTGATGCTCCGACTGATGCTTCTGTTGTTGTGGAGTAACTCATGCAGCCAGCTATGGCTCTAGGGTTTGGTGTTACATGTTATTTATGTAGTTTATTTTTTTTTAAATTCGGTCACAGTCCCTATGATCACTGTTACGTTGCAATTATGGCTTTATTTTTTGGTGATTTCGAAAACGTTTTTTGGTTTGGACATGTTTGTTTTGTTGTAATACGGAGTTAGACTGATGGCCTTAATCTAAGTTTTCTTGTGGTTGTTGTTTGACTTGCATCCCACTGGGATTTTTGCACACAGCGTTGGTGTAAGGTGCTTTTTGAGGAATATTTTGCTGGTTTTTTCATGGATTCTCTGTTTGCACAGTCACATATTCACTTTAAAATGTTTTCTTGTTCGTGTTTTTTTTTGTTTGTTGTGGTTGTACCCAATTCAAGAGCCAAATGTCTCACAGGGCTATACCAAAATAAATAAACTGAAAACTGAAACACGGTCAGTAATTTTTTTAGTAGGCCCTTTAGTTTTCGTAGGCCCTAGGCACAGTCCTCCATGCCTCCACCTACTCCTCCAGAGTGCATACTGTGCCTATTGGATAATATGGCCCTACACATGGATCACCTATCCAAGCACTTTCAAGGCTCCATTCTTTTTAGCTTTAAAAATCCGACAGGATCGCGCATACTCCGGACAATTTGATCGCAGGCAGGATCGGGAACACCCAGGGCAGGATCACTGTCACGATGCTGCTGGGAGCACGACTGATGACCGCGTGTTTGTGCCAGGGCCGTCGTGGAACACCTGGGCCCAAGGGTGAGCAGGGTGGCTCGGGGCCCATGGGTCTGCCAGGAGCAATAGGGCCCAAGGTAACACATTGCACTGGCTAGGGTCGTGCCTGGAGTAAAGGTGAAGATGTGGGATTATTATTTTTCTTTTATTATATTATATAGATTTGCTATGATGAGCAACTTTTTTACAACATGTTGTTTGACATCACATAGGTGTCGGGAAAGTTGCACATTTCACGTCGCGTTAACGTGGTTAAAACGATTTATGCGGAGAGCAACCCGGCATCGCGACAGCACATCTATCGATTGCTTTCTTTAAAATATAAACAGAACGCACACCGAAAGATATTAGCTCGTGTAAAGAATCACTACAACAGCGCGTAAAAAATAACTTTGCAGCCCCTGAAACCAGCTGCAGCTGTAAGTACATTAATTCCACAGAGGGTGGCTGTGGGAAGGACAGGGGCAGTAATGAGTGTGACTTCCCGCCGCGGTGCGTGAGTGAGTGTGATCGTTGTTGTTCTGCTCGCAGGGAGACAGTGGAGAACCGGGCGTCCTGGGGATGCCAGGTCCCCGAGGGCCACCTGGTCTCAAGGTGGGCATCGGCTCGATATGGAAAACACGATGTGTGTGGCAGCTCCACTCTGTCTGCTCCACCCCAACAAATAAACACGATTTAATGCACAAGATTTGAACAAACTAGATGTACGTGCAATAACTTAACCCTCTCGTGCATGAATTATTCAAAGAAAAAACACAAACGAATGTTTATTTCAAGTGATTTTAGGAGTCAAAAGAACCCCCACCCCCCTCCCCCCCAGATTTGTTGAAAACGTTTCATATGATTTCACAGCGGCTCTAAAAATGATATCACGACAGTGAACATGATGTATGAATGGGTTAAACAAACAACAATTAACACACGGTGCGACCTGCAGGAGGCTTCCCTGCTAATTACTCAATGATGAAACGACTCACCCCCTCAGCTCGGCCATTAGATGCTATGATTCAGGGTCGTGATTGATTCAATAATGTTTTTTTTACATTGTGGTGAATGCCGAGGGGACTCGTGGCTCCAGGGGTCACGTGAATATCTTAGATACAAAATATATGAATCGAACAAATATGGATGCTGACAGGCATTCTTCGACCCATGTATCATGAGCTACAATTCGATGTTAATTAATCCTCACATCCTTTTTACTTGAGGCAGCTGCCATATCTTAAACAGTGTTTGCTCTTCTCCCACCAACCCCTCCCTCTGAGCAACACTTCCATGCCTCCACCGACTCCTCCATGCCTCCACCTTCTCCTCCATGCCTCCACCTACTCCTCCATGCCTCCACCTACTCCTTCATGCCTCCACCTTCTCCTTCATGCCTCCACCTACTCCTCCATGCCTCCACCTACTCCTTCATGCCTCCACCTTCTCCATGCCTCCACCTACTCCTCCATGCCTCCACCTACTCCTCCATGCCTCCACCTACTCCTTCATGCCTCCACCTACTCCTTCATGCCTCCACCTTCTCCTCCATGCCTCCACCGACTCCTCCATGCCTCCACCGACTCCTCCATGCCTCCACCGACTCCTCCATGCCTCCACCGACTCCTTCATGCCTCCACCTCCTCCATGCCTCCACCTACTCCTTCATGCCTCCACCTACTCCTCCATGCCCCCACCTTCTCCATGCCTCTACCTATGCCTCCACCTACTCCTTCATGTCTCCACCTTCTCCTCCATGCCTCCACCTACTCCTCCATGCCTCCACCTACTCCTTCATGCCTCCACCTACTCCTTCATGCCTCCACCTTCTCCTCCATGCCTCCACCGACTCCTCCATGCCTCCACCGACTCCTCCATGCCTCCACCTACTCCTCCAGGCCCCCACCTTCTCCATGCCTCTACCTATGCCTCCACCTACTCCTTCATGTCTCCACCTTCTCCTCCATGCCTCCACCGACTCCTCCATGCCTCCACCTCCTCCATGCCTCCACCTACTCCTCCATGCCCCCACCTTCTCCGCCATGCCTCCACCGACTCCTCCATGCCTCCACCGACTCCTCCATGCCTCCACCGACTCCTCCATGCCTCCACCGACTCCTCCATGCCTCCACCGACTCCTCCATGCCTCCACCGACTCCTCCATGCCTCCACCTCCTCCATGTCTCCACCGACTCCTCCATGCCTCCACCGACTCCTCCATGCCTCCACCGACTCCTCCATGCCTCCACCTACTCCTCCATGCCTCCACCTACTCCTCCATGCCTCCACCTACTCCTCCATGCCTCCACCGACTCCTCCATGCCCCCACCTTCTCCTCCATGCCTCCACCGACTCCTCCATGCCTCTACCTACTACTGCCGTGGAAATGTACAGCCATACACCATCCAGCCCATTTAAACCACTAAATTGCATCACCATATCGAAACCTCACATCTCTAAACTATTACGTGATGTATTTGAAAATAAATTATCCTTGAAAAAATAGAGACATTATTGCGTGTTTTTTTTAATTTCAGGGTGAACCTGGATTAAATGGAGACAAGGTATCTGGTTCAGTTACTATCTAATGGTTTTTGGATGGTTTGGTGTTGTGAGTTTGACCTCATCTACCTTTTGAAATTTAAGATAATGGAACTTAGACAATAATCATGGTATGTGCCCTTGCTTTACTTGCACTTTACGCCAGGGTGATGCTGGAGAGAAGGGTCAAACTGGCCTGCACGGAGAGAAGGTATGGGCATAGTTCTTTAAAAAATTAAGATGTGTATGTGGCTGTGTGGCTAAGGGGACGGATTGCTGAAGCGGCACCGTTGCGATCCTGGGTTGGAATCTTGGCTATAAGTATAAGTTTCAGCCTGGCCACCAATGACTTCACAATAACATGACATTTAGAAATAAATTAATGCACTAAGGTTTGTTTTACATTGTGCTTATGTATTTGAAATAACTTTGGAGAGTAATGCCAATAATATGAAAAATTGTATTGTACTTCTAATTCCATATATATAAACTGTGTATTTTTTGTAGGGTGAAACAGGGAGTCGAGGAATGTTGGGACCAAAGGTACAATCATCTCTGTGCATTAAGCAAAATGAATATCCATGATACTGCTCGAACAATACATTTATAAAAAAAAACTTAATTACCAGTGGTTAAGATGGAATTATTTATAACGTTGATTAAAACTCTTCAACTTCAAATAAAACGTAAATAAATTACATGACCTATATACATGTTATAAACAACCTTTGATGTTGTGCATGAATAAATGGATTTCATGTCTTTAGCTACTAATCATGTCATAGATGTCTTTAGGTACTAATCATGTAATATATTCATTGTGTTGAAGTTGAGGGTTTTGTATTGAATTGAGTAGTAAATACTTAACCACGTCAGAAACCTTGCTGATGGCTGCTGTTAATGTGAAAATACATTGGGAGTGGTGGCAGAGTGGTTAGTGCACTGCACTATGGACCAGGATACCTGAGTTTGATACTCAGCCACGACTTACAGGGGTCAATAATATCTAAACTAGTCCTTGGCCTCCCCCTCTTTACAGCCTTAGTGTATCGCCAGCATGGTAAACTATCGTGAAACAAAACTGATGACTTACAAGGGATCGGGAAGCCTTCTCCCATCAGTGGATTGACAGTGCCGGATCATCCGAGTAGCAAAAGTAGCTAAATATGCTACGGGCCCGCACTTTCAAGGGCCCGCGCTAAATGCTTTCAAGCTATCAATTCCGGTTCAGTGATTCTGCACTTGCTCTATTACTATAGTACTATACTGCCTTGAACTTTGATGAACGACTGGGTTTTTAAGGTTAGCGATTTGTCGTATTATCTGGCTGTATAGAAAATGAAAAAATACAATAACTTTACTATGCAAGTAAAACATTTGTGTTTTAATATTTACGTGTTTTTTTTTTAATTTAGGGCCCCATTATAGCATATGCTACAGGCCCCGCACTCGCTTAATCCGACACTGTTTGATAAATGGCTATTAATTATGATCATTATGAGAATACATATAGACATGGCATGAAACACATGCTCAAGTGTCCTTCGAGGTATATTATAAATGGAAAATACCAGCCTCAGACGTGCTAATCACAAACATCACTGCTTTAGTATGTTAAGCTTTTTCACCACACCATCTTAATTCCTCCACCCATATTGAGCACTCGATCTACCAAGCGGACTATTTCATCTCATCTCTGCTGTGTTCAACCACCACACTGCAGGCCACGACATTTCTCTTTCCGCTTCATGTGCTCCTCGACTGGAAAGCGCTCCTGTCATCGAATTTTCATGAACATTACAGCTTTGCTCAATGAAAGAAGTGTACCAACTGTTACCAGTCATACCTTCAAGAGTGCTGTTTCTTGCTGGCCACTTGGCAACTTGGGCATTTAGGGCCCATTCTCGACACCCTCGATTAATTCAACAAAAATCGCAGGTTGTTTACGAAGCATTGTCTTGACACAAGTGTTTACATACGTGGGTGCACTGTGTGACAGGGCGACATTGGTCCGAAGGGGAGTGATGGACCTGCAGGTTACCGGGGCCCCATGGGAAAGCCGGGCAAGCGTGGAAAAGTCGTGAGTGCTGCACGTGGCAAGGCCATGACCCACACTCACGCGGCACGGTTAAATCGCGGCATCGAATGTGGCAGTGCATGTGTTTCCTTTCTCCTCACTAAGGGTTGCCACCTACGAGGTACAAAAAAAAACCATGGTGTATAATGAGGATGTCTTAATATACCGGAAATAAGGAGAGCTATACATGTGAATGAAATGCAGTGGTGTCGAAACGTATTCTGTGGATTATAAGAGGCTCCGGAATGTAAGACGCACCCCAAACTTGTGCATGGTGTCATTTAAGTTAGGCAGATCGAGTCACATACACTCTGGATTACGAGACATTATCCCCAGTTATCGCTTTAAGAGAGAGAGGAAAAAGTGTGTTTTGTAATTCGGATAATACAGCATGATGCAAATTATAAAAACACGGATTTTTTTTATGTTATGAGAAGACTCAGAGATTCCCACCAACCCAACAAGAGGATGATCCTGGAAAAACCAGGACAGGTGGTAACCATCGTCACACTGCTCTTCTCATTTTGTCTCCAAGCAGGGCATGAAGGGAGAGCTGGGCCCTCGGGGACCGCCTGGGTTGCAGGGAGTTGTGGGTCCCCCGGGTCCTCCCGGACGGCCCATACTACCAAGTGGTACGTTGTGGCCTGCCCCCTTCCACCTGGGTGCCCACACCACCTGCTACCCCCGCCCCCAACCCTGCACTCCCCAAACAATGCAGCCTACTTCATTGTGGTTGGCGTTAAAGCAATCATTGGAAGGATTTGATAAACCATTTCGGGTCTTAATTGATTGTTCACGCTTACGTTGGCTTTCAGACCGCATCCATAATTTTCGTCTCCCCCCTCCTCTTTTCCGAACATAGATGGACTCGTCCATCTGAACAAACTGTCAAATCGCTCTCCGTGGTGCTAACGTTAAAAAAACGCCACTTTTTAAAAAAATTCTTGCTGTGGTTTTCACACCTGATGATGATTGCTTGTGTTGCAGTCGAAACGTCGTGAGAATTTTATTGTTTTATATTTTTATCATTTTATTGTTTCCCTTCTACGTGACTTTTCCGAAAAAAACAAGAATATGTTAAAGCACTCGTTAAATAAATGAAAATGAACGCAATAATTGTATGCTGCATTGCATTGTGCAAAATTAATCAAGTGAACGATTAAAGTTTATTTGGTGAAATGGTACAAATTTTTTTAAGTTCTGCGAGCTCCGTTTATTTTTTTTTACGAATTTAGATAGCTGTTTTATCTATGTTGTAACAGTAGTCATTTTTCACCACAGATTGCAATATCTCGCTGGGGCAATTTTCTCAATGGATGATGTCGTTTGCCCAGGGGAGATGCCTCTGTGTCAGTGAAGCAATGAGCACTGAGGTAGCCGGCCGTCAGGAAAGCATGCACTGCCTCGAACGAATGCATACCCAACACGGCAGTTAATTGAATTGAGAAATGTCAATACCACTTTGCCGAATTAGTCTATAATGCAGCCATGGAAGGAGCAGAGCTTGCACTCCACGCTGCTGCTGCTGCGTTATTTGAATACAAATGGCTCAATTCCTAAATTTGTATTTAAAGCTTTCGTGACTGCAGGGATTCATATTCTTGGCTCTTTCGGTAAAGTCACGTATAAGGGAAACAATGAAATAATAAATAAATATAGAATATATAAAACAATAAAATTCTCACGACGTTTCGACTGCAACACAAGCAATCATCATCAGGTGTGAAAACCACAGCAAGAAAATTTGAAAAAAGGATCAATTCCTCTCTAAATAAAAACTAGATTGACCTTACCTGCTTCTAAATGTATCCTTTATTATGGCGTTACTAAAGGACGAGGATTCATTTGCATATTGTTACAAAAAAATCTATAGCCATTCCAATTCCCTCACAAGTCAATGTGTTGTGTATGTTTTCCTAATGCGGCACAACATTAAATTATTTTCAGAGTTTGAAGCAGTAAGTTAAATAAAAAAAAATGCAATGACTATAGTAGTAATTTATAGCTCAGCGTCAATCCTGTGCATCATAAATGTCTTCCCATACTGAGTTGGTCATTGTGTTAGTTTGTCCATACTTCACCATTCTGGTCAATACAGGTTGGTGAAGAGGGAGGGTGGCATAGGACTAGTTCAGATATCTCTCGCCACTGCTACAAGCTGTGTCTGGGAATCATACTCAAATGACCAGGTTTTGTAGCCCATTTCGCAAACAATTGGCACTTACTTAACAACCAGCACTGATCAACGTGGTGAATTATGGTTAAATAACCCCCATGACTGACATGGCATTGAGAGGCCCTCATACAGCGGTGAATTTACAAATGGCCTGCCCACGTAGAATAAAACCTGTGTACATATACTGTATATGGAAAAAAAAAACTTCCAATTTCTCTCCCCCTGCCGTTTACTACTTCCAATTTATCAGACTTAACTTGAAATTTAGCAATCTTTGGAAGAACGTAATCAACCAGGTAATGTGTTCACTGTTGTGTTAGCCGACTCTCTGTGTTGCATTGCATTACATTTCTAAGTTTACTAGCTTTGTTTTCTCAAACTTCCAATTTCTCTCCCCCTGCCGTTTCCGTTTATTTTCTCTGCCCCACCACCCCCATCTATATAATGCCTCGCCACAGAGGCGTTGTTCTGTGTGTCTCTCTCTCTCTGTGACTCTCTCCGTGTCTGTTTTCTCTCTCTCGCTCTGTCTCTCTCCGAGCTTGCATTCTTTAAAACCTGATGATGGTTGCTTGTGCTGCAATCGAAACGTCGTGTATTATTTATTTTATTTATTTCTACGTAACTTTCCAGAAATAACCAAAGAGTACATATATATGTTTTTTTTTTCAGATCATACGATCCAGACGGCCAAGGGCGAGCGCGGTTTTCCGGGAGTACCAGGCCCCCCAGGGAGGTGCTCGTGTCCCAGCCAAGGCAACTCCCTGCAGACACGCGCAGCCGGCGTGCCGTACCCCGCCGTGCAGGCCGTGAGTGGCATCTTCTCGAGACCCCCACTGAGCAATCAGCTGTTAAACCACGACCCTGCACAGCGATCTCCAAGCCGCAGGCGCGCGCTCGGTGCGAGCCGCAGACAGACCGAAGAAATCCTTGAGGACAGACCCGTAGCATGCACAGGCTGCTTACAATAACAGTTCGAACTATCCATTTTTGTACGTGCACATTTACAGCCCTTCATCAATCCACTGCTGGGTGAGGGCCTCCGCATGCTGTGCGAGTCGTGCGGATTATTATACCATACTTCACCACACTGAACAGTAATGGACGTTGAAGATAGGTGGTATAGATGTGGGAGACTATAATTACAATACTAAAATTTGTATGCAATGCCCTCTCCTGTCTAAAGTGCATCGTATAGCCTATAACAGCTTTCATGCATGGTGGGCACCCACCTCAGCAGTATCCAGGCTCAACCGAGCTTAGGTTCTTAGATCTGATGAGATCTGATTATCAGAAATTGCCTTTATTCGAAATGTAATCAAGAATCAGTTATTTTTTGTTCCATTTTTGCAGTCTCGTTAGAAGAGTTGTATTCACTCCATTAGCCTAAATATAACATCTTCTATATTAATACAGGCCTTGATCTGGATGTCTCAAAAACCTCCAGGGTACTTCGCGACAAGGTAGAAAGCTGACATTTGGTAATGAGGTAGCTTTTAAGACACAAACAACATGAAAAATCAGAAAATTCGAGATTTTTCATTTTAAGGCCCCCACATCTCGATTTTTAAGTGCCCCATAAACATGTTTGTGCATCTCATTCAGAAACCGTTCAAAATATAAGATTGCGGTTTTTTTTTCCTTTGATAGAGCATTTAACAGCAAATAAAATTAAAGCGAGAACCATTGGGTCTCTCCTTTTCCTGAAGACGACCACTTGCATTGCGATCGAAACGTCGTAGTGTTCTGTTATTTTTTATTATTCTCGTGACTTTACCGAAGGACCAAAGAATATACATTGGTTCTATCTTTGATCATTTTTCAGATATTTCCAATTCAAGCGGATTTGAACCAATGAAGTTCAAATCTGAATAATTTGAAAACGGTAAAAGATAGGCGCTCATAGAGTATTAAGATCATTCATTTTTGTTCTTTCTAATAAGGAATGGAATATTTAAATTGAGTGGTTTCCGATGGGTACGTCTTTAAATATAACAAGTTGAATCAAGTCGTCAACACTTTTTGTGTTTTTTTTGCGGTAAAATACACATTTTTGGAGTAGTTGTTAGTGTCTGATCGTAGATAAAAGTTGTAATAGATCATATCAGATTAATTATTATGTTGATTAAACGTTTGCCTGGCGAAGACACGCTTCATTAACTAGTTAGTAGATACTTTAGGACACCTAAGGGTCGAAGAGGTTTATGTGTACCAAACGATTTTCAGCCAGGTCTGTCCAGGTTGGCGATTCGGAAAATGTTTCCGCACCTGGTACACCACATCCAATATTCCTCCTGCTACGGTTGTGGCTACTACGAGTCACGTGCCTACTCCAGTCTTCCAGCAACACGAAAAATGTTGTGACATTAACCCCATGTTACGGCTGTCCGAAGCTTTGTGGACAACTGCATGCCTTAAAAATGCAGTGTAGATCACCCAGCTGCTGGATCCAAGTCCCTTTGTTCTGATAGCCCTGAGCATACGCACAGTGCAGCTGAGCGTTCCTCTCTTGTGGCTGCAGATCTATGTGGTGAGCAGCCAGCAGGAGCTGGAGCTGCTGAGCTTGCCCAACACCATCGCCTTCTGCCGAGACGTGCGCTCGCTGTTCTTCAAGGAGCCCACGGGCTGGGTTCCCATCCAGGTGCACCCCTCATCAGTTCCTCCCTGAGCTATGCGGCCAAAGCCTCGAGTGAATCGATATCTCTGCATGTGTCCACTCAGTATGACCCAGTGTTTCAATAAGGTGTGCATGTGGTGATTCCGATGCAACTGTGTGCATTTTGCTGTTTTGTCACATTTTTGTTTTGTAAATGTCAGGCATCATTCAAGCGTAGCTGTGCAGATTTCATGTGAATGCACTTCTGGATGAGGCCTTTCCATGCTTTGCGAGCAAAGGGGGTGATTTGACCATACTTCACCATATATATCTTTACATGAGGAAATCTTCATATAATTTTCAATGTTTCTGAAAAATACATATATTTGATTTCTAAGAAGGAAAAACATTTTTTTTAGATATCTTGTAAATAATGCAATTGCACACACATATGAATGACGATGCTTTGCTGGATAAATTACTCTATTACTTAGGTTTATCCATTGGCTTTGATCGATGACTGCTCACTACGTCATGCAACATTTTGTCAAGCATTGTAAAAACAATCGTGCTCGTGGCCACCCTTGTTTACATTCAATATTCGGTGGTCATGCTGAGGTCATCAAACTCGCTGCACATACGAAAAGCTTTAGACTGTGGAAGACGACGTTCATTTATTCTCCAACGGAGGTCTTGGATCTTATTCTCATGGAAATGCTGGCTCAGGACTGCCAACCACAGACATTAGACCACCCCAAGCCATCCAATCATCTCGCATTCAAGACAAATTGCATACTTTAATATAAAAATAAGCTGTTTATTTTCACGACTTGATAGACGTCTGCAAATAAAACAACTTTGCTTATTAGTGAAATCACTCATTTGTAAGCCATAAATGCCAGCTGTTGCGTATATACCCTTCACCCCCTGCCATCATCGTTCCTCCACCGTCCCGTCAGCTCGCCCCTCCCCACCTCACAGGGTTCTGCGGAGACGGAACCGTACAGGAGGTGAACGGAGAAGAGTGTGACGACGGCAATGAGGTCGGCTCTGATGCCTGCGTGGGTGAGTCCTTGCATCTTGCTAAGCCAGGGGTGAGGAATATTTTCCTTACTGAGGGCCAAAGAGGACTTTTAAATACCTTTGGGCAGTAACCACACATTAGCACACACACCTCGACCACTTATGTCATTGTAAGAGACCCATACTGTGACAAAAGCGACTGGGCATGTTAAAATTAGAAACATGCTGTTCTAGGTCAAAAATGTTCCCCCCTAGTAGCCAATTAGTGCTTTAAGTGATGGTTAAATATTGTTAGCGGGGCTGTTTCGCAGTGGTATGCCTCATGTGTTTATCCCATGGGTTGTAGGTTCCCCACCTGTATACTAAGCCCACGTTCACAGCCTAAACTCTTCGATCAGAATTTCTACATTCCTAACACCTTGCTCCCCAACCTGTGACCCTTACAACAATGTACCTGTGCGCTTAACATGGAACAATTATCCTGACCCCTTGCAATTTGAGGAATTTCCACAGTTTGAATACACAATTAAATTCAAGCATCGATCATTGTTTAGATTGTGGTGAATACAGTTGCCTCTGGTGTTGCTGCAGGGTTTATATTACACACAAAATAAAAAGTAAAGCCGTGGATGAACACAAGGCAATTTGTCAGTCGGCTGGATCATCATCTTCATCGTTTATTTTATATATATGCCTCCCATGCAGTGCATCTCAAAATACCATCTTGAGGATGAAGATTATCCATGGTGTGTCAGTCATGGGAGTTGTTTGACCATATTTCACCACGTTGGTCAGTGTGGGTCAGTGAAGCGGAGGGGCCCAGACCCAGTTCAGATATAATTCGCCATGGATGATGGCCATGGCCGGTAATCGAACTCTGCTCACCAGGTCCATAGCACAGTGCACTAATCATCCGCTTCCACCCACAAACAAATGCACAACTTAAAAATAATAATCGATTTTAATCGGTGCGTCATTATTTACAAGGCAACTGTGTAAATATTCTGGAGCCAATCCCTGTTCTACAACACCTACAATTTGAAGCTCACTCCTGTAAGACTGCGCTGCTTCGACCAAGATCAGCATGCTGTTGCCTCATGTTCCCTACGTAGACTGCAAGCGCGCATTCTGCGGTGACGGCCACCGGTGGGACGGGCTGGAGGAGTGTGACAGTGTCGATCTTGGCCAGCAAACTTGTGCCACATACTTGCCCGGGTGAGCACAGCCATCTGGCAACACTGCCCAAAATACGTCTCGTTTTGCCACCATTCGCTAATTACTAAGCCGGAGTCAGCACGTTCCTGTTCAAATGAGTGCTGCTGGGCAGTAATCAGTTGCATTGGCAGTCCTAAGCCAGTGGTGCAAATTCCACATTCACATGGTGGGTTTCAGTCTCTTCATAGGACAGCCACTGTTGACTTCCTACATTGGTACCTATTTTATTGACCCGAGGGGTGATGAGCAGAGCCTATCTCTGATAACGGGGATGTGAATTCCTCCATGAAAATGTTCGATGACTACTCTGTATGGCACCTTTGATAAATCACAAGAATTCACAGTCCATTGTCATTTCACCGCTGGATGTTGGTCTCCTCAAGCTGTGCTGGTCGTGGAGGTTGTTTGATCATCCCTCTTTACACTAAACAGTGCAGGTTGGGGAAGGGTGGACCCAGGACTGGTTCAGATATCACTCACCACTGGTGTTAATATATATCATATATAGGGAGATGCTATTCTTTAATACAAACATTTGTGTGCAGTTTAAATTATTCTTTTGCATTTCTTGCACTGTGTTAATACAATATAGATGCCAACCACTTGAATAATTTATATAATGAACGTTTAACATAATTACAAGTGTGGTGTTGACTTCCGTGTTGTTACTTTGCAGCTCATATGGACAGCTGCGGTGCACCATCTTCTGCAGAATTGACTCCACAGCCTGTCGCTTCTTCTCTTGATCTGAAATCGTCACACTGGGTTGAAGATCACGGTATTACAAGGAACAAACAAGCCTTATATTACGGACATAGACATAACTTAACTTCTCACTAAATATTGTCTGGGTCACTGGTAGACTGGAGGTGGCATGTGACAAGTAGCAACAGCCATAGCAAGAGGTTTTACTGGATGTGGTGTGCCGGGTGTAGAAATATTTTCATGGGTTACAGACCTTGCCAGACATGGGCTGAAACAAACCTCTGGGCATGTATTTTTAAGCTGTCAAACAGAATGCCATTGAAAACTCCTGGAGGATTTATCGTGAACTAAGGTAAATTGAGACACTAATATACCTCACATTTAATCGAGCTGTGAAACATTCATACGCAATATAACATATACAATCCATTGATGGTACCAAGAACAATTTGGTGGAACCTGACTTATTTGGACAGCTGTGGTGAACTGCTAGAGACACTCATCGGCCTCATGCAAAAGTTAAAGATGTGTCCTGCCATATTTTACTCACACCATTGTTGGGAAAAAAAAAACCTGTCTTCCACCCTGGCCAAATGGAACCTGTCCAAGTTATTGTTTCATTGCTGCTTAGCTACTAGATATTAGGAATTGCATCGTGCCTATGAATTATGCTTATGAATTACATTATGGTACAACGTATGCTATCGTAAACAAGTTCTTTTAAGTTATTTAAGGTGCTTTGAATAATACTTTACTGCTATTTGAAAAGACCAAAATAGGTTTTTGACAACGTGGTACAGTACTATGAATTGATTTTTTATAAACACTTTTAATGATACTTCTCTGTTGATGTTACACTTGTTCTATTTACCTCATTTTTTAAAGTACATTTTCATCAATAGCAGTCTTAATTGTATCACGGTTGTATTTATTATGATTATTTTGACTTTTTTCATGTTACTATTAATTGGAAAGATTTAGTTTATACCGGATTTTATTAATAACAGTACATCATGTATGGCCTAGACCACTTTGTCATTGTCTCAAGGTATCCGAATGTGTAACAGATTTCAATATGCAAAATTTTGACGAATTTCTTTTTTCATAGGCTGTGATAATGTTTCAACAATTGTACGCGTCTTTTCTTGACTGCTAGTGTGTAAATGAGCAAATTCAACTCAGCATTGCCGACATATCGCATATTTCTCAAGTACTGTACTGGAATGAATACTGTACAATGAGTGTAAAACGTGCACTTGTAGAATGCATGCTCCACTCTCCCCCCCCCCCGCGTGTATGTTTACGCTTTGTACGCTAAAGGGAGAGTGAGTGTCCCGGGGCCCACGAAGAGGCCCGAATAAATTAAATTGACTCACCCAGGGAGAGACCTTATTTTCATTGCATGTCCTTGCCAGAGTGCATTTTTAAGTCATGAATTCACTTCCCTGCACCTTACTCATGGCTGCTACTCCATTAACTGATTGCTTCCTGTTCTTCCTAGCACCGGATAATGAACGATGTTTCTGTTTTCAGCCTTGGCTAGAAAATTAATGGCAACGTGAAAGCAACATACAAAGCATGGTGCAGGGTTGCTTTGCGATTTTTAAACCTATGAAATATTGTGTTCACTTAACGCTAAAAAAGGATAGATGTAAAAAAATGATAAAGGTGCAGCCCTGCAATTTCTTGCTCATACCATTGCTGACGAGAGGAAGCTCTAGCGTGCTTATATTTGGCCTCTGCTTCCACCCTGGCTGCAGGTTTGTAAAAGAGGTGGGAGTGACCCACATTGTATCACACCGCACACGGCCTGCCTGCCGATTGGTGTTACTAATTTATACTGTTGGGTGTAACAGGCAGGGCGGGAAAGTATACGGTATGTTTAAACATTTTTTAAAGGAGGGGTTCACAGCACAAAAAGGAAAATTGAGTGGCTCTGCTTCAAACCGCCACCTACCTTGATGTCACGGGCTTTACCCAGTTAAAACGGAGTCCGCAACGTACATGCATGGGTCCCTATATTTAGCGTTCCTGTCACCCTGTCCACAACAACTGCTGCCTCTGTTTTCACGACAGAGATGACCCGGCCATGGTGACGGGATGCAAATGCAATGCTAGCAACTTACAGTACTTGCCGCAAGACATCAGGGGTACAGTCAAACCTCATAAAGCCGACACGGTTAAAGCTGTAAGCTTCCCACTGCGTCGCAGCACAGTCTTACATTTCTTACATAGTTTCCCACAATTTAGGGTTATTAAAACCCAGGAGCAATTTGTTTGGGCATTTTTTTTTTACATCTTAAAGTGTTCATTGTTGCATGAATGCTAAAAACCCTTCAGGAAAATTGCAGAAAATATTGTTTATCGAAAGCAACGTGAAGCCTTGATATTTAAGCACTTAAGACCTCGCTAAGAATGTTCTGTTTCGCGTGAAAAGTAATGGTTTATAATGGTTAGATGTAAACATGACATTTTGGCAACCAACATTACAATTTTAAATAATACTGCAATACAGTATAATTGTGAATATAGTATATTGCCTATATTTAAAAAAATGTTTTTAATTCTTGAGGTGGTTGGGTCACTCAGGTAAAAGTGTTGAACGGACACTGCTGTGATTATGTTTTCCAATTTGGCCAGCTGTGACTAAACAGGGTTCTAAAGTGCAGGGAGTTGATGGTCTCCACTGGTCACCAATGACTACTCAAAAAAACCTGATCATATTAAATTTGGTTTTGTACTTAATTCGGTACATTTTACAGCTCTGACAAAAAAATACATTGCTTTGACTGTCATGCAACAAACAGTATGGTAGATAAGAGGTCATTTGAATACATTAAGTAGTCCTGTGATAATTACTTCTACAGACTATTCCATAAGATGGTATGATGCACTGTTTACAACAACATTTGAAAAAAATCTGAATGACACTCGTGTTAATAACCACAAAATATCACAACACTCATGAAGTTGATGGTCTCCACCGGTCACCAATGACTACTCAAAAAAACCTGATCATATTAAATTTGGTTTTGTACTTAATTCGGTACATTTTACAGCTCTGACAAAAATACTTTGCTTTGACTGTCATGCAACAAACAGTATGGTAGATACGAGGTAACTTGAATACATTAAGTAGTCCTGTGATAATTACTTCTACAGGCTATTCCATAAGATGGTATGATGCACTGTTTACAAAAACATTTGAAAAAAATCTGAATGACACTCGTGTTAATAACCACAAATTATCACAACACTCATGAAGTAGTGAATTGTTAAGATAAACGATAGATCTATATAAATAATAATGCTGTACATGGAAAAGATGATTTATAAACAGCAAAAGGCATGATCGTAACTATCAGATTAGGCCTCCCATGATGTATTGCATGTCATGTGACAATCATACTGTGTGTACAATGCACAAGAGCCTTATTTTAAATGACCAACTCTAGAGTGAAAGTTTCAACAACATCTTAGCAACAGGACAACACCGATTTCAGCATTGTTATGAATAGTCAGTTCGATGTCATTAAAACCTACATTATATTTGAGCATAGAGAAGAATAAATGTATTAACTCTCATCAATTATACATTCAATAGTGCAGTTTGTTGTCGGCATTTTGGGCCTTTGGCTTGTAGTCAGCAACTGTTATAAAAACATGTATGTGTATGTTAAAAACCCACGAGTTGCTCGTTCATCCTTTTGGCCACGCTCGCCTTTCGCTCGTGCGGTTCCTGCCACCTGTTCCAGATGTATTAACAAACCGCCTAACCAATCTCCACGGGGAGCAGCATTTGCTCTCAAAGATACCCTGCCAAGGCCACCCTTGTCCAATTGTATGCCAAGGCTTAGACACGTCTCTAGAACGGCACATTTTAAATTACTCCATGGTATTTGTAATGGTATTTGCCTACCCACTGTATAATGCTCAGTGTTTCAAAGCGCCCCGTCCGGCGCGTTTAATGCCGGCGTATTGCTTTACGTCTACTTTGAGGCTGTTTTGCTTTGCACTTGATAAGCATGGAAAGAACGGCAAGCATCCGAGCTGGGACAAAGCCCTGACATCGGAGAATCCGTTGGGATCTCCGTGCCGTTGGGGAATACAAAACACCTGTTCTACATTCCACAGATGCAATTGTATTGTTTTATTTAGGTTTTTTTCGTCTTCTCAGAACGGCAGAATGATGACACAATTTCAATGGGACTACGGGTTGATGCTTGTGTAATATTGGAAGAGTGCAGTGTGTGTGTGGATAAATAACCTGAAATATCTGGAGGGCACGTTTGGGATTTTTTTTTGCTTGCAAGTGAGTCTAACATTACGGAAAAGCCAATAGCCTCTGCGCTTGAGTTACTGGTGCTGCAGATACGGAATGCGATATTCGCCTCCCTGCAGGAGCCGTTGGGTAGATGATACCTACAGCACACCCCAGGACTGATGTCAACAGCAATTTTTGAGAAAGCCAATAGCAGTGAAATTGGTCACCATCACAAAACAAAATGAATTTCAATAATACTAGCAGCCCGCACGTCCTTTGAACGTGACCGTCCGTCCGTCCTGCCATCCAGCCAGCCAGCGAGCAAAACTGTTTTCTAGTACATATAGTACAATGCTAGTTGTATTCTGCGCGTGTGTACGGATGCACGGTTAGCGCGCTGCGCTACGAATCCGGCGAAGATTGTCACGGCCAACACCGGTGGCGATTGTCTGAACTGGTCCCTGAGCCTCCCGTTGGTCGACTAAGCCTCAAATGAGTACCTGGTGCGGCGGGCGTGGTGCAGGCTACCCACCACCTCGTGTGCCGTGCCAGCCTTCATAGGTGCTCGCTAACAGCGCTTGCCCCAACAGTCTGCTAAGGCTACACGGGGGATATTTGGTTCAACGCTGTGGGATGCGGGCGACCTTGTCACGCAGATGTGCGCGGCGACGTCCCTACCGTGAATCTAGCCAGCAAAACTGTGTTTTTAACTGTATATATAGTATATATAACATAGCATAACACAATGGGGCAGTAGCGTACATATATCATATATTCGGAGCGGAATAGATTTTCATGATGGAGGCCGTTGCCCAGTGAAAATCACTATCAGTTAATTGCTGGATAATCATCTGGCAACGAGCTGTAGCTGAAGCCTCGGTTCTCTATGCGGTTTACACTAATAAACGCAAATTGTTCTTTGTATGCTACACACCACCAATAATAATTATAAAGCGATCAGGTATTCAGGTTGGACTGCACTGTCAGAGCGCAGGCAACATTAAAAAATATGCATTGCATTTGTGGTACTGAATAACACATTGGATTCATACTTAGCACAGGGAGGTGCACTGCGGCTATGTGAGCCATTTAACTGGGCAGAAATTCGCCCAGAAGGTGTTTTATATGCCTCTCCTGTTGAAACTCCCCGGTCGGGGTTCTTTGCTGTCTTGAGTGAGATATGTGAAGTGTTTTACTGCCCCCGTCTGTTAGATTTTGGAAACGCCAGAAATTTAACTACAAACAATTGAACAAGGGATGTTATAATAAAAGGAGAGGATGCAAGGAGTTTGGCAGTGGGGACCACCTTATCCCAATAAGCTAGCATTACCCTTGGCTCTGACCAACTAGCTAAAAGCAGCTCCAGTGGTACTAACCATATCCCTAACTAGGCACTATTATTAGCCCTATCCATAAATGAGCAACCTGCCACCAGTACTATCCCCCTTACGCCACTGAGAAGCCCTCCCACGGACCCACAGCTCTGCCCCCATCTCCAGCGGGTGCGTATGGCTTTGTATTTGTTGCTAATTTTGTTATTCTCCGGTTAACGTGTTAAATCAAACAGCAACACACATCATGCCATTGCCGCTACGTCATGGACGTTTTACTCGGCGAAATGTAAGTATTACAAAGAGCTGGAGAGCTAGCGGCACCTGATGGTCACCAGAGTCTATAAAAACTCATCCCTGTCACACTTCTGTCGAGTTATGTGGACGTCCTGCCGTTTGCAGAGAAGACGCTTGGTTTCAATAAATGAAAAACACAGAGCAGTGTTACAAATGAGCAGCAATGAAAATAAACGAGCATATAAAAGGAGTGCACGTGTGGTGCAAGATCATCCTGAAGAGTGAAATAGGTATTATCTCGTAGATAAGAGCCTCCCTCGGTCCACACCCAAGTTGTAATGCAACAAATTCTCCTGCGGAAGGAGCTGGTAGGAACGTTGGGTTGCTCGGTCAATGGCCAGGGTCAACAACGGCGGCGCCACGTGGTGTATTCCGCAAATATTCCCGACTGTGAGGGCGGGCACAAGCCGGCGTGAGTAGGTTAAACGTTGAGTTTTATAAGGGCACCACGGGGTGACCAGCCCCTCCCCATCCAGCCCCACCCCTCCCACCCCCCACCCAGCCCCACCCTCCCCACCCAGCCCCTCCCCACCCAGCCCCTCCCCACCCTCCCCACCCTCCCCACCCAGCCCCTCCCCTCCCTCCCCACCCAGCCCCACCCTCCCCACCCAGGCCCACCCTCCCCACCCAGCCCCTCCCTCCCCACCCAGCCCCTCCCCACCCTCCCCACCCAGCCCCTCCCCACCCTCCCCACTCAGCCCCACCCTCCCCACCCAGCCCCTCCCTCCCCACCAGCCCCACCCTCCCCACCCAGCCCCTCCCACCCAGCCCCTCCCCACCCTCCCCACCCAGTCCCTCACCACCCTCCCCACCCAGCCCCTCCCCACCCTCCCCACCCAGTCCCTCCCCTCACTCATCCCCCCAGCCGCACCCTCCCCACCAAGCCCCTCCCCTCCCCACCCAGCCCCTCCCCACCCTCCCCACCCAGCCCCTCCCCTCCCTCCCCACCCAGCCCCACCCTCCCTACCCAGCCCCTCCCCACCCTCCCCACCCTCCCCACCCAGCCCCTCCCCTCCCTCCCCACCCAGCCCCACCCTCCCCACCCAGCCCCTCCCCTCCCCACCCAGCCCCTCCCCACCCAGCCCCTCCCTCCCCACCCAGCCCCTCCCCACCCTCCCCACCCAGTACCTCACCACCCTCCCCACCCTCCCCACCCAGCCCCTCCCCACCCTCCCCACCCAGCCCCACCCCTCCCATTTTTGGATGCACGACGGACGGACGGACACAATAATCCCCTGTGGGCTGGTGTAGTAACCAGGAGGTCCCTACCAGTATCACTGCAGTGTCGCTTGCTGCGTGACGACGGTGACACTACTGGAGTGTTATGGCGATGCTCCTCAGAGTCAAATTAAAGTACTTTTCTTCTCATTTACCTCACTTTAAATTCGTGCGTGTCTGTTCATCTCCTGCAAATGCATTTTGTAGCTACAAAAATGCTTTACTTTTATTTAAAGATACCCAAAGGGGCCGTCCATAAATGTCGTCACGCACTGGGGGGGGGGGGGGGTCAGACATTTGTGACGATGTGTGACGAAGGGGGGGGGGGGGTTGAGAAATGTGACGTCACATTAAAATGCGCAACTTTAAATAAATATAGACAACACGTTCTACTTAATTAAATAGACTTTTTAGTAAATGTTTTCTCCTACAACATCAGAGTGCAGCGCCACATTAACTTCGCACTACAATGACAATAGTTTAAAGCGATTTGAAGCATGTTTTATATTTGGGGGGGGGGGGGCAGAGCTTTGTGACGTCATATTTGAGGGGGGGGGTCTGACTTTTTGTGACGCCGTGTGACTAGGAGGGGGGGGCAAAAATCGTCCAAAATCGCGTGACGTCATTTATGGACGGCCCCAAAGCAATTCCATTTCGCAGCATGGATAGATAGTCCTCGGCACAGTGGTGCCAGACCTGGCTTTTTGTAAACCTCCATTCTAATATTAGTTACTGTCGTGTAAGACAAGTTGCTATTCTCACGTTATAAGATAATCTGCATAAGGCCAGAACCTATATCAGGTGATTCACATACCACCACAAGTATACCATGACCTCAATGGCTCTATTACAGCCACAACCACCACTTTAAATGCACTGCCACAACCACAATCTCCTTCAATACCACCACCTTAATTATTACCATCATTTCCACCACAAGTGGGCATCACTTTTACAAACACCACTGCCAATTCCATTACACTGGTCTACAGCCAAAATGCTTCCGAAATAAATGTAGTCCAACATGGGACCTGCTTTCCAGTACCAAAATATGAGAATAGGTTTTTCCCTTTTTTCTGGCATCCTCTGGTCTAACACCATTTGA